TTCAGCCATTGTGCGAGTTTAAGCATCATTATTTATAGGTGGAAGTAAAATTACTGTAAGTCGAAATATAGTTATGGAACGAATTACCTGTGGGATTTCACCTATAATTTCCACTACTTATAGCGGCCAGTGTCCGAGTTTCCTGAGACTTGTAAAAATAAAGAGTACAAATCCCCCCACCCTCCTCTCCGCTCTTCAATGGCGGCCGCCAAGAACGAGCTCGGTGATAGCAAAGGTAAATTTGAATTCTGTTCGTGCGCTATTTTGTGTGCGGTATTTTCTTCGGAACCTCTTCGGGGATTTTTTATTTTCTCTCTTATTCATTTTTAGTTTTTTTCCAGGAGGGACCTCGCTATCTCGGAACCGCAGCTGGCTTGAGTCAACACTCTGCTGGTCGCATAGGGTGGTGTTGTGTGGTGTGGTGTGGTGTGGTGTGGTGTGAGGTAGTGTGGTGGTGAGGTGGTGTGGTTGTGGTCTGGTGGTGGTGTGGTGCAATGTTACTTAGTATGGTTGTGGTGTGGTGTTATGTGAGGTGTGGTGGTGAGGTGGTGTGGTGCAATGAGATTTAGTGTTGTTGTGGTGTGGCGTGGTGTGGTGTGGTGTGGTTGTGGAGTGATTTATGGACGACGGAGGCAGGTAGATTGATTTGGTGAGGTTGTGGTGTTGTGTGATGATGATGTGGGATGGTCTTTTTAAGGTGTGTCGATGGCGTGCTAATGGTGTAGTGTTCGTGCGATGATAATGTGGTGATGGCGATGCTCGGATAAGTAGCGATAGTGCAATGGAAAGGAACAAAATAGTGAAGATAATAATCAAGTCTAGGCTGCATTTGGTGTTACGCAAGTGGTGAGATCAAAGAAATATTGCCAGTTTGGTGATAGTGTGATGAAGTAAGAAATATTGGGGATGTTCGTGTTAAATGAGAATTAGGATGAATTGTCGGTTATGTTAATGAATTGTTAGCCATCTAACATTATTGTTACCTGATGAAGTATCGGGTCCTGTAAATAATGTTGAAACGCTGAATTATTCATCGTAATCTTCATGAGTAAACACGCTGCCACATTTTGATGAATTATGGATTGATTTCGGTACAAAGCAACGAAAGAATGCAAGTGAAAGAAGCTTTAATGTCCCATAATGGAATGGAATCGTCAGGAGCCCGCGTCCGATTATTACGATTTATGTTTATTTTAATTTGAAAGACTCAGCACAGTTCCTCTATGTCTTAGAATAATATTGATCTATTCTAATAATATTAGAATAGATTTTTTTGGATTTTAATAGTACGATTTTTCTAAAACTGTGCTATTTGGGGTCTTTTAAAACAGCAGAAAGTATATTTGAGAACAATTATTAGATACGCTTCTCTATTTCTTAGACAGGTTCCGAAAAAACCCTTGCCGTATGAGAAATATTGAATTTACGAGTCTGTGGTTATTGCGCTTCACTTGATCTCTTGTGAGAGCATTGCACATGGGTTGATAGGCTACAAATATTTTATTAACAACCGAGAAATTATATGCGTACAACAGAAACCGAAATAAGTAAAAGTAAGTAAGCAGTAGCATCATTGTCGGAAGTAAATGCTCATTGCTCTTGCAAAATTGACAATAAATTTGGAACCTGTATTATTTCTTTACGTAGGAAAATATGAACAAACATAATAGTAGTAAACGATATAATCTCACACCAGCAAAATATTGGCTTCATCGGGAGAAATATCGATCGCCTTTCTCAAGAAGTTATCCACATTTCAAAATGAATGAGATCGAGTGGTATATATAGACCGGCATTTTCACTTTATCTTATTGTGAATAAGAGCATTAATGTTAACTTTCTCTTGCAGGCTTGCTTAACATTTTTTATTCCTAAGCACGCAAAATATTCGAGATCAAAGAATGCATTACCATCCAAAATAAGCATGGCACTTTCCGCTGATGAAACGCCACCCTTGCATGCCTTTACGTGTGCCTAAAGCAAATGGAAACAAAGGCAAAACTTAGCAAGTCCCAAGAAAAACAATGCTGAGGGCTAAGAATATATGATTGCTTCCCAAAGCTCCTCCTCAACTTTGGCAGAGACTTGAAGCTATCTTTGAAAGTTTTGCAACTTTGAGCTTTTCTTCTGAAGCGCCGCGTTTGATAAACTTTTTTGTGTTCAAGTGCCGGCCCCCGGACCTGCTTGACAGCCGAAACCCCGGTAGCCCGGGGGCGTGGTGGACCCACTTCAAAAATTAGAACTAGGGCAGTGCTTGCTGGCTTTTTCATGCGTCTTTAAAATTAAAAATAAGGAATAGTAAATTGAATCTGGGTCAGATCTTTTACTTATATAGCGTTTAGAGGTTCTAAAATACTTGTGACTGAATGGGAACTGGGGCAGCGCTAGCTTGCTTCTTCGATGTTCTACACATTCTAAAATGAATTAGAGTGAGTGAGGTATAAGCCAGCAATTTTAATTTCATGTCATTCATTCAGCTAATTAGAGATGACGTTGAGTGTTTGAAACCTAGGGCATTGCTTGATGAATATGATGAGCAAACAGTGATCACATTAATAATTAGGCATAATTCTTAGAAAAAGAATTCTGCGAACCGATTGCTGACTGCATATGACTTTTTTATCCCGTCAATTATTGAATCTATAAATTTATTCTTTGCGCATTTTAGTATTCATTAATCATCTTATGCCGCAATCGTGTGTTCTCTATACCCACCGTTTTACATTGAAGAAATAAGTCCTTGAATATAATTTTTCAAGCTCGATCGAGATATCGTGAAACAACGTAGCGCTCTAAAATTCTAATTCTGCTCTGGATATACGGCTCGAGGAATTCATGCATGAAATTCAAGCTAATATTCATTGTACAAGTCGTTACTCGGGGTAACAAACGATTCAAGTATATTTGTTCAACAATGGGCAACTAATTGTAAATGATTAATTGTACTCAATTGGAAATTGATTCATCATATTTTTATAAACCTAATGTATGCAATAACTCAAATAAGATACATCAATTATTGTTGACTGAATTTTGTAGCGTTTTCAATAATCAACGGTAGGAAAATTGAGACAACTGAGCATTACATACGCCAGACAACCCCGCTAGTGAGAGATTTCGTGTGCAATAAACTTGACGAAAGGTTGAAGAAGTACATATTTTTGGTTAGGTAAATGATAAGGTTTCTGATATTTTCTCTTAAATATCACTTACTGNAGACAACCCCGCTAGTGAGAGATTTCGTGTGCACTTAACTTGACGAAAGGTTGAAGAAGTACATATTTTTGGTTAGGTAAATGATAAGGTTTCTGATATTTTCTCTTAAATATCACTTACTGTTTGGCTGAAAAACAAAAACAAGAAACGAATTAAACTTTTATTTTAGAACTTTATTCTAAAGACACCGGTTCAGAGCTTTAGGCAGGAGACGACGCATTAAAAAAAATTAGGAACGAGACCATACAAGTTCCTGGACTTCCTGAAATTAAGCTTGGTAGCCCTGGAGTCGGCCCTCTTCTAATTAAAGAAGAGCAAACATGCACTTATGAAAAAAAAACAATAAAACAAAAATCAAAGACTGATCACTCCAAATAATAAATTAGAAATTAAGAAAAGATGACATTAAACACTCCTACCGGAAAAACATTAAATTAATCGGATGCTTTCTCCGCGAAGTCCTACTGCCAACAACCCTATTTACAAACCCGTACGTACGTATCAATAGGTATGGAGAAAAAAACTCAAAATTTGCAACCGAAGGAATACGGAAATTTACAACATTACATAACAAATGTGGTGGTTTTCGATGATTTTGAAGAGTTTANTTAGTATTAGGCCTATCTTTACCAGTGGGGCAGTGGCAATTGTGCTAGGCCTAATGGCAGTCTGGCACTCTGGCAGGTTTTGTTGGACTTCTTTTCTTTACATGTATTTTTTGCAAGAAATTGAAATTAATATCATGACGACAAATCTTCTATAAAACTGGCAAAAATAGTCAATTATACCTAAATACTGGCTAGTGGCTGGCTAGTAGCACTGTAGAGTGTAGCCTAGTGGCAACACTTTAGCAGTTAGCCTTAGGCCTTAGCCTCTTAGGCAGAGACTGCAGAGTTAGGCTTAGGCTAAAGTGCTTGTGCTAAACTTTTAGTTTTAGCTTTGGTGGTAGGCCTAATTCCTAAACTGCTAAAGCCACTCAGTCTCAGACCAGCTGAGTGAGCTGACCACTGACCAGTCAGCAAGTCAGGCAGTCAGTGACCGCCTGACATAGTGGCAAACCAGAGATTTTTTAGAATCAGTGCATTTTTAATTTCCTCAATTACTCAATATTTAAACCAATTTCTTATGTATGATAATGCTGGTATCCATGATAGGTACTTTACTCAAGTTTACTGGTCTACTTATAGTAATCAAAATTGAACTTGTGGGAGAGTCTAAAAAACTCTCTGCTTTGCCACTATGGGCCAGTCACTACAAGAGTACAAGTTACAAGAAAGTATGATCAGTTCTAAGCCGGCAGTGAGTCAGTGACCTCACTGAGTCACTGTCCACTGACCACTGACCAGTGACCACTTACTGGATACTGACCAGTGACCAGTGCTAGTTAATAAGTATAGTAGCGATTCTAATGAGTAATATTATTTAAAATTGATAATGTAAAATGTAAATTCATACTTACTGTCTTACTGTCTTACATCATGTATATAAGTATGAAGAAAATGTATGTAACATACAAATTACAAACACAGTAAATAGTAACTATAATTTGATTCAATTTCATTGGATTGACACATGATCCTTTAATATAATTGAACAGATATTTCCAGGTTCCACTTCTGTCAACTGACTCTGAGAGTCTGAGTGACAGTGAGTGTCAATAAAATGTGGAAAGAGTCATTTATTTAGCCATCTTTTCAATGTGAAAAACCAAAATATTTTACTGATAACAATAAGCTTAGACCTTAAACCATAGTTATGACTATTGACTAAGTAATGACCAATTGATCTGAATTGTTATTTTCTACTTCTTACAGATACAGGTCCACAATGAGCTGTCATCAAAGCGGAAATGGCATGGTGATCCCTGGCACTCCAATAGCTATTGACTTTTGGAATGTCATACTCAAACCTCAGGCAAGTCTTCAGTTATCCATTTCTTTCTTCTGATATGATTCATGTCTATTGTTTTTAGTTACAGTTGAAATATTTTTTCAATCATGTATTTAATATCAATATTTGTGAGTTAAGCTTGTAATAAATTTGTCTGCTGAAAGGCATAAGCTTGGCCCTATAAATATAGTAGTGGTGTATGAAGTCAGTAACTCAGTATGCATTTTATTCTCTTTGGATATATATCACTAACTCCCTGCATTTAATATATTTACTTTGTTACCTTGTGTTTCTAGGATCATCATTTTGGCTACTGGATTAATGATTTAGGGTTAGTAAAGCATGCATTAATCCATGTAGATTCTGTCAACAAGGCGTCTTAAACATAGTGACCTTTTAATGCATTTACAATTCAAATTGCAGGCCAAAGTGTTCTTCCTAACCCATTGCCACAGTGACCACCTGGAAGGCTTAACAAGTACATGGAGGCAACCAATCTACACTACTTCCTTTAATGCTCACTGGCTTGCAAAGAAGCGCAAGGTAGTAGCTGTAGCTATTGACCAGATGTCTTTTATCTTGAAATAGTTCATTAATTTGTTATTTTTCTGCTGAATACATTTTTATTTCCCTAGCTAATTGTTTTGTTTCTGCTACCTGTGCTAATTCAACCAAGAAATAAAATGAATTGATTTGTTATGTCCATATCATAAATTTCTAAGATTACGTACCTATCTAATAAACATTCATGATTTTTATTCACAAATTCATCATTGTTCATTGTTAATAAATTATTTTAGAAACAAGCTTACCCTGAAACAATTTTATGCTAATTATTAACTGCTTATTAGTGGGCCCAGGCCAAGATTGAGTAATTTGTTGATCGTTCTTATTCATAATCATAGTCAAATTTTTATTGCATACTATCTAATATATCTTAGATTGCTCTTGCAACATTCATCATTGTGGAGGCAGGCACTTCTGTCGAGGTGCCACTCGACCTGACAGGTCAAAATAAGGCACTTGTGACTGCTATTGATGCTAACCACGTCCCTGGGGCTGTCATGTTCCTTTTGCAAGGTGATTCTTCATTCTTATTCAATAGTGCTGAAAATTGTGGCACGAGATTATTGCTATGTATTGAGATTTTAAAAAGGTACCTGGTCGTTCATGACTACCATATGTCAGCATGTCAGAACGCCGTTTTGTATCCCCTTACAGGGCATTGATTTATTTCTATTTTATCCAGTCAGAGTAACTCAATGTCATGGGCTTTATATAATATTTGTATCCTATACTAATATAATTCTCTTCTATTCAGCTTTATGGCTATAATTGTGATCACATTGTGTTTCTCCTGCAAATTTGATATTCACAGTTTATATTTTAGTCATTTCTTTGGTGTTTTGGCAGGTTACTTTGGCACCATTTTATACACTGGAGATTTTCGCTATTATCCTGAAATGCCTCTTCAGCCGGGGCTGAACAACCTGCAAGCTGGAGATGTTGATGTTCTCTACCTGGACAACACTTATTGTCACCCGATCTACAACTTCCCCTCTCGCGATGACGCTTCTCTCATCATACTCAACATAATTAAGTGTGTAATATTATCCTGAATGAGTGCGTTGATTTGTGCTAGAAGGTGATGATTTCTGATCTCTTCTCGAGTATTCTAGCATAATAGAAGAGTGGTAAATACACTGGTAGATGGTGTTAGTAGTGGCTGGTGAGATGTCATGATTAAAAAATATGAGTATAATAGTGTCTGTTAATATTTCAGACTTCTCCCCAAAAAAAACTCAATTATGGGTCATGAACTGTAATGGAATTCTCTAACTACTTCTGTTCATCACAAGTAAACTATCTCTATAGCAAAACAAATGAACTGGAATAGGATTTCTGCTTACATTTGAGCAGTATTTGTCATGTTTTGATTTAGCGTTGTTTACGATGATGTAAAATTCATATTTGCACTGACAGATGCCACCCTAAACACCGCATAAAGCTTGGCTGCCGCAACCTAGGCCGCGAGGAGCTGTACTTATTCCTCGGCGTCCAGATGGACGAGCTGGTGCTCGTGCCCCCTGCTGTGCTGTTGTCCCTGCAGCTGCTACGCGCCCCTGAATACTTCACCACAGATCCTGCGCAGTCGAGAATACATCTCGTGCCTCTGGCGCAGGTCACGTCTGTGTGGTGGTCTTTTGAACATCGTTCACTAGAACTGAATGATGATTCGATGCAGTATTTATTATCTTTGTGGATAATTAGTGCAAATCTGATGAGCTTTTGTGGAATCATAATTCGTGCCAAAATGATGTTTGTTAAGCGTAGTTTACAGGCTTACACTGAGTCTCATAAATCACTCTACAGGTCTCACAGAAAAGCCACCAGTGCTGGAATACCGAATATCCGACCATCAGCATCCGTGCATCAGCCATGACTACTATTTATTTGCCAGCTGAAGAAAAGGACCCAAAACAAGAAATGGGTGATGTACAGTGTTGCCCGGTTCATCCATGTTGCTCCGAGATGGTGGCTACCGAAACTGTACTTTTTAATGATGTTAATGACTCCTCTCCATCAGTAAATATAGTCGGTGTAGCGCGTTCAGTCAATGCTGTTCCTAATAATGTTGACGTTTTTTCGCACAGCTCAGTGGATATTTTCAAGGAACAAATTCAGTTATCGCCCATCAAAAATGTCGTCTCATCTCAACTTCACGCGGACTCTTTTGGTGACGGCGTCCAGGGTCCCATGTGTTCCACTCAAGTTGAACGATCAAATGAAGATGAAACTGAACTTCAATCTAACCGCGTTTTAAGTGATCCTGAAGATATTGAAGGAACTGTCATGAAATTACACAGTTTGGAAGAGAATCAAACAAAGGCCATTTTGTCAGATTCTCTGTTTTCCGCTGGGATATTGAATGCTTCAAAATCGTTGGATCTTGATAAAATAGTTAGCCATCAATCAGATGAAGACACTTGCATTAAAAATAAATCTCGTCTTAATCAGGAGCCGTCTCCACAATCTAAATTCAAATCTAAAGACGCTGGCTTTAGATGTATATGCTCTCAGATTAGAGAATACAGCTGCGCTAACGTACCTGGGCTATTTAATGTGCCTTACAGCGACCATTCTAACTTTGAAGAGCTCAGAGCTACAGTTACAGCCATCAAACCTCGCTCTGTTGCGCCCATTGTAGCTGCGTCTGCTCGGATCGCTCGTGACCCGGAAGACAAATCAAACATGTCCCTGTTTGAAGACTTGCTTTACAAGGATACCGGTAATACTCACTCGGATACTCAATGGAAAGATTTCTATGAAGCTCAGCCTACAAAGTCCGTCCAATTTGACGGAGTATTGCGAGATGCACCTCAAAATCGCTCGGTGGCTGTTCAGCAGCGAATTGCAAGGTTGTGCGAGAAATTGCCTTATTTTTCTATACCCGATGACGTATCGGACTTGATGTCTTCAAATTCAAATGCTTTGAGCTGCCATCATGACTTGCCTATTAAGTGGAAAAGAAAAGTCATCAGGCGCAAACGTGAACGGCGACAAGCATTGGGTGTCAAAAGAGGGGTGCATTTCGAGGAGCTATCTTGACCGTAATGCTACTAAGAAGACGTTTGTGATTCCGATGTGATAATTATACGATGTAATTCAAGTATTTTCGCCGTCCAAATTAGGTAGAATCCATATTCATGGTAAGTTAAGTTTAGTAATATACTCAACCCTATTCAATGGCGTCATTATATAACGATTCTTAATATTTTTGTTATGAAAAGTGTACACCGTGATAATAATTTTTTTTATTTTTTATCTTTTTTGCTTTCATGTATCATTTTATTATTCAGTGTAAAAAATTGAATATTAATTCTTTATATGTCAAACGTGTAGTATATTTTTATGTCATTGATTAGTTTTTAACTGAGTTTTTAAGCCTTCGAAAGTGTGGCCTGTGATGTATTCCCGTTAAATATCTATTCCTCATTCCTACTGTGTACATGGTCGTGATGAATGATATGATGAGATGAGTAGTAGTAGTGGTAGAATGGTTTGCTAGCGCTTCAGCTATCAAGCTATTTCGCGCCGGAGTTCAAAATGTGACATTGCCATAAGGCGGAAGGTCTCAATTATTCAAAATCTCAAATTATTCATCATCCACAATGAGCGGAAGACCTCAGTTGTCCAGCCCACTGAAGCTGGCTCGAAGGTAGCAGCGTTAGCATCTCAAAGAGACGAAGTGACAAGGAGGGACATGGTGAAAAGCAACAGAAACAAAGACACTCGAACAAGAGGTCGCTTACACGGGACGTCGGCCGCCTGCACGAGAGAGACAGAGAAGGGAAATGTAAGGTATCCTGCCTACATAATAACTTAACCCCACAACTGAGACCTGCAGTCAGACACCGCGAGCTCAGCGGTGGGGCGCTCAGGAACAATCCCCCTAGGAACGCGAGATCCCATAGGACTTCGGACAAGCACAGACACGCGTCAGAAGTCCCCCCTGATGGGTATGATGATATGAGAGGAATGGGAATATATTTATGTGTGGAATGCGTAATTAATGAATGTGCTTATTAAGGAAAACTTGTGTGGAAATCAGTAATTGTAGGCCTTAAACTTGCAAGAGCCAAGCCAGTTCCGATGATAGTCAATACTTCTAGAGCAATGTAACATACTGGCATAGACCGTAGACGATGTAACGCCCCCAGCGTTTGGACGCTGGCCCAGCACCGCTCGAGCCCCTGCAGTTTCCTGGTATGGTTCATGGGAGAGCAGGGTGGCCCATTGGTTACAATTCAGAGTATCAAGGTTTGAGCAGAGTTGCGAGTTTGCTCCCTCCTTACTTGAAGAATTATAAAAATTAAAAATGAATAAGATTATTCTTGATACTTTACAGGCGTTTTTTTAAGAGATTCCAATCGCTATGATTCACGAATTTGTTGAAAAAAATTTTGTTTGAAAAGCTTATCTAAATTTTCAGCTACTAGCTCCCTTTTACTATAAATTTGGTAAATTTTAATCATATATGAAGCCGATATATAAGTCTGCACATTTAAGTTGCCTGCTTGATAGGAAAAAATTTTCAAGTCACGTATAAATTAATTTCTATGTAGAGATGCATTTTCATGCAATCAGGCAGACACACTTAAAAGAAAATGTAGGCTATTATTAACAAGGTTAGTCTTCCATTAGCCAATAGATAAAACCGACAGTTTTGAAAAAGCAGTTGTGTTAAGCGGCCGTTAGAATTTACTCACTAAAATCTGTTTAGGCATGGGCAATCATGAATTTGGAAATGTGATTACTGTGATTTCTTTAAGTTTGAAACAACAATGACCTGAGCCCAAACTCCGACCATACGCGTCAGTCTTTCTATAACCGAGACAAGACGCATTCCTTTGCACAATAGTTAACACAGCGTCCGTGGAGATACTGATTTGGTAAAAATGAAACCTGAACCTCATTCATAGAAAGTTGTTCAATACAGCCCTAGTTAAATCCCTTGCTGCTTTATATTTCTAAGAAGATTAATAAATCAAAATTGCTGAACTTCTGGGCATTAAGAAACATAGTATGAGCGAATTTCGTGATTCAATTACTGTCCTTCTGGAAACGGCCTTTATGCCTACAATAGTAGCAAAATTCTTTATTTTCCAACAGTTTTGTTTTTGTTTCAGGTTCTGAGAATGTTTATGTGTCACAATCCTCAATTCTTTCAACTATTTAGTATATGTTCGCTGATTTGAATCTTTATCTATATCGTCAGTCGAAATATCACCGACCAGATTAATTCTATTCTTCCGCAATTGTTTGACTTCGGAAACAACGGAATTTACCGGTGACGACTAAAAGCAGTTGCTAGTTAACAGCAAAATGACGGCCTTTTGGAGAGTTGCTGGGCTCAAGTAAGTTTATGAAATATGTGACATAAGTTCAGTTGTTCTAGTAATTTTCAAATATATTTCGAAATAATTAACATTTACACTGAAGTTTTCATGTGCCGTCAATAATTTATGGAACGCTTATATCTTGTAAGTTGTACCTAAGTTTGTTAGATCAGTTGAACCAAAGAAAAAAAAGGCCCACACCATACTCCATAGCATAGTAAATTTAGTATTAGGCCTATCTTTACCAGTGGGGCAGTGGCAATTGTGCTAGGCCTAATGGCAGTCTGGCACTCTGGCAGGTTTTGTTGGACTTCTTTTCTTTACATGTATTTTTTGCAAGAAATTGAAATTAATATCATGACGACAAATCTTCCATAAAACTGGCAAAAATAGTAAATTATAGTAAAGTGGCAACACTTTAGCACTAGCAGTAGTGACAAACCAGAGATTTTTTAGAATCAGTTCATTTTTAATTTCCTCATTTACCTACTCAAGATTTAACCAATTTCTTATGTAGGTATGATAATGCTGGTTACTTAGCTGGTAGGCCTATCCATGATACTTTGCTTGTCTACTTAGGTATAGGACTCAAAAATGAACTTGAGGGAGAGTCTAAAAAACTCTGCTTTGCAGTGTGGAATTCTGTATAGTTAATATATTCTCATGTTAATATATGAAAACGTATCGAAAAATCAACCCTACCACCGCGTTACACCACCTCAC